TTCCTCAGATAAGGGGTTTCATCTTGGAATATGGTCGTGAAATGCATTAAGGCCCAACTTTTTGAGCTTCTGATTCTTAATTGAAATGTAAGGAATACTGGACCACGTTTTAGTTGTTAACCACCCCCTGCCCCCAAATCCCTGAATATCAGGTTTCACCAGCGGGTGGTGCTGCAGGAAGGGTTGTCACCCGTCACCCATCCCAGATTTCAATGTAACAAACTGCACCCAATATGGATTTCATACGGGATGCAGTTAGCACATATTTAATGGCGCCTTGCAGAGCATTTCCATGGTAAAGGCAGACATGGCATCGTTCATTGCTACAGTGCTGTCGGCCAATTCACCAACACCATGAAAATACATGATGCTGATCCGGGGGGGAAGTGATGTGAAGGGTGGCGGCTCCTGATGTATTGGAGTGGACTCTTTCTTGAATGGGTCTCCAAATGTGAAATGGGGGATAGTGGTGTGAACGGGGGACTCCAATGTGAAGAGGGCTCCTGATGTAAAGGGGGGAGTCTTACCATCAATGATCAAACCTGGATTTTAAGATGAAGGTTAATTCCGGGTTCGTTTCTCAAGCCCATTTTTATCTGTCCACACCTCTAGGCATGAACGCAACATCACTACACCATCACCGAGATCCTACCACTCTTGGTTCCAAGGGGAATTTATCAAAAGTGAAGCAGAAGAATCTGGAGCAGTTGCCTATGGCATCCAATCAGCTTCTCTCTTCAGTTTGTTGAGATAAGATTTGAAAATGAAATAGAGAAGCTGATTGGTTGCCATGCACAGCTGCTCCAGATTTTGTCTTCTCCAGTGTTGATAAATTCCCCTCATTGTCTTGTCATTAGGTTTGACCAAATTAAAGTGCACTTGCTGCCTATAACAGTGGAAACAGCTATTTTGTAGGTGAACCAGAGGCACTATAGATATCATTAATACCCATTATAACTATTACATCATACATTCAGTGCATAGGGTCCATTGACATCATTTTGGGAATATAATACAAAATGATTCCTAGAACAAAAAGGCTTCTCCCAGTTTGTCTAGGATACATGAGCAGGCTACAGCACTTCTTCTTGTTTTCATTCACCGAAATCCATATACTTTATTTATTGAGACAAGGATAATAGAAGCACAGTAAGAAGACAAAAACTAAAATCGGCAACATCTTAAAATTGTTGTAAACCTCAACTGGATGACACTTAACTGACTCTGTATTATAAAACATGTCATGTTTTACCACAGGCCGCTGGCATCCTAGCAACCAATCAGGCTCGGCCGTAGAATGTCACTGGTTGCTAGGAAGCTGATAACCCCAATGCCGCTAGCATCCTAGCAACCAATGAAGCTCGGCTGCACAGAATCCTTGGGATCTATGTACAAGTCAGGCTTTGCTACAAATGTATGTACATGTTTCTGACATGTACATGAATCTGTCACATTCACCGACATTTGTCACTATAAATGCCAGGGATTGTGTCCATTTGGCTTTGCAGCCGGGGCTGGATTTATACTTCCTGCCAACCTTGGTCTACTGTCTTGGGGGTCACCCCTTCCACCTTCTACCACCAATTAACTAGCCATCCTTAGTATCGCAATAACAAGATCAGATGCCATATGAAAAGCTGGATGTGGGGGATCCTGTGTTATCCCGCCCTGAGGAAAGAACTGTGTCTCATTGAAATGAAGGCTTCCCTAGAATGGTCATTCCCAGCTAAAGATGAGCAGAGAGCTGGAAGCAGTGCGAATGGACAAATGGGGACAGTCTATGGAAAGAACCCCACCCTATAGAGGAAATGTGGCCAGAACAGTATAATCCAGCCTTGCTACAAAGACAAATGTTGTGGGGGCTTCCTTTCAAATATCCAGACAACCACAAACATAAAGTAACATTTAAAGCAAAGGTTTAACAAAGTATTTACAAGCTTATTTGATATTGGTAGATAGAAAGTTGCAAAGTACAGTATCCCAAAGCAACCTTTTAGGATAATTTTTTCTGTGTCCTGACGCCAGTAAAATGTAATCTGATTTCTTGCTGCATTTAAAGCCCATCTGCGGGCAAACCAAAAGCTACCACTGCAGTGGGGCTACCTCCGCACTGCAAGGGTTAAAGGAGAACTATGGGGTTAAGGCTTTTCCCCATAGTTCTCCTTAGGGTAATGGGAGGACACAAACTAGCGTCCTCCCGTCACCCTAAGCTCAGTATACGCGAGCTACAGCTCGCCGTATACTGAGACGCCACAGCTGAAGCGGATCCCGACAATTATGTCTGGATCCGCCCAGCTGCGTGACTGGCAGATGGCTCTGCCTATCTAGAGGCAGAGCCAGCTGTACCCGCCCCCTCCCCTGTCCGTTCTGCCAGTCAGCGCTGGCGAATCGGAGCGGCGAGGGGGGAATCCAGCCCCTCCCCTGTCACGGCAGAGAGCTGTGACAGGATCGAGAGGTGAGCGAACGCCGGTATGTGTTCCCTCACCTCCCGATCTACTGAGCCGACCTGTGACAGTCTCATTGTCACAGGTCGGCTAGAACTATGAGGTGAGTGAAAAGCACTCATGTCATAGTTCTCCTATAAGTGCTCGTTTATGCCTAGGGGACAGGAAACCGCTATTGTACTTACCTTGCCTCCACCGGCTCCCTTCGGCCTGCCAGACCGATCCCTGCAGCCTCTTCTCCCCTTCACTCCTGCAGTCTAAGGACTGCTGACGTCATCAGGTCTAATGCAGGTTCCATATATGTGAGGACATCAAGGGACATTCCACCAGCTGGAGCAGAGGGAGAAAAGAGAGTCCTGATTGCCAGGGGAGCGAGGATCAGGTAAATAAAATTGCTTTACTCCCCTAGGCACAAACCAGCACTTAACTGTTGCAATGCAAGAGTAATCCCTACTTCAAGCACTGGCGGTACTACCAGGGTCGCAGCAGTCGCAATTGCGACCGGGCCCTGGCGTGCCGCCTGTTGGTGGGGGGGGGAGCCCAGAGAGGAAGAAGAGGGCCTGAAGCTTCCTCATGTCACCGCAATTTTTTTTTGTGGTGGGGGTGTAGTTTCTTGCCCCGGGGTCCTGAGGTTTTCTAGTTACGCCTCTGACTTCTGTTGGAATACACATTATTGTATTTATAGCATTAACTACTGCAGTGTACATTTTCGGTCAGTAGATGGCAGTGTCCTGCTATATCTATGGTATTTACTCTGTTGTATTGTAATAAGGTAGAGAATAAAGCCGTGGCTTCCTTCCTGTGTGCTTGAGTTTCTCTGTGGGCTGGCAGAGGCTGTGCAAGAAGTTCCAACAACTTCAAGAGTAGTTTTTTGGGTTTGCCTGGAGATGGGCTTTAAGCTTTGTTCCTTGCGTGGCCTTGCTGTATGTGCCCCTTAGAGGTTATGTGTGTCACTGGCTCCTAATGAAATCCTACTCAATGAAACCTGGACTGAAAAACAAGGCAGGCTGCCCATGCTGACCTCTTTTATCAGAGAGGATAGTTGTCCGGCTCTCATGCTGATGCAAAGGCTTCAATAGTTCACTGACTAAAAACAAGCCGGCAAATCGAGTGTTCTGAATTGACCATGATTGCTGCATGCTTGTTCCCATTGGTGGCTCAGAAAGTATTCGGCTTGGAGACAACCAGGCAGCCATATTTTTATAAGTACTGGTGTCTTTAAAAGCAACCTCGTCAGGGTAGCACAGAATCCTTAAAGAAGGTGCCTGCTAGAGAAGAGCTCACCAGTCCAGTGGTGCAGCAGCCTACATCAGTCTCTTTGGTATTTAACATTTCAGGGAGTGTCAAAAAGACATGTGCACCGCGCAAAAATTTGTTTCGTTTTCATTCGGATTTTCCCTTATTTCATTTTGCGGGATTCGGGTCCAAAAGTCATTTGTTTCGGGATTCAGACTAAATGCGATAGCGGTAGTCTGTACGAATGGTCGTCCCGTACGAATTTTTATTGCAGCAAAGTGACATTAGAGAAACAAG